GTGCGAAATGACCACCATAATCGTGCGCGCCGACGACTATGCCCTTTCTCATGGGCTTAGGTACAACCATAGACATATTAACTAATGGACCGCTCATAGAGAGAGAAGTCTGGGGTGAACATCAAGCAAAAGAGATAGAAATATAAGTTGGAAGTGCATGGAAAAAAAAAAATTTTTATTTTTCCAAATGTAAATTGTTATATTTGATTACTTATCATTATTCATTATATAATATTTAGTATTTACATTTTACATTTAATTTATTATTATTTATTTACAAAATACAAGTATTAAAAACAAATTACAAAACTTACAAAAAAAAAATTACATGTTAACAAGTTCCTTATTGATTTTTGAAAGTTATAAGTTTTGTCAATTTTGATCGGATCCTCATTTTTGATCCAACCAATTCCTTATTATAGTGATGTAACCTAATAGTGTTATAATATTTTAATATTAATTTAATTATTTGTAATAAATGGTTATTAATTGGTGATTGGGAATAAATGTGTTTGTTTAAATTTATAAAGTATAGGTTAATATTTATACTCGACATACTTTTTATGATTAAAAATTGAATAACATTTTTTTGATTTTTGATGGCCTGTTTTATCCATAAAATAAAATTTTTTTCTGCAATTTCACATAAATTAACAACGTCAATTGATGGCTTAGTTAAGCCACCACGATTTTTATTATCAATTAATTTGTTTCTGCTATGTTTATCCGTTAATTCTGCTGCACATACATCACATTTTAATACACATAATATTTTTTTCACAATAAAACCGGATATATGCTCAATAGCAAAGGTTTTAAAATGAGGTATTTCTTGCAAATTTTCATCATCTATTAAGTTTGGCATTTCTTCTACACATAAAATATCTAAAAAATTTTCCTCTGTTTTTTTTTTGGTACTAGTGACACTTAGAATGCTAGTTGCGTCCTGGGGTGAACAATTTGCTCCCTTTGAGACTGTCAAATTGGTGTGTACTAGTAACCTTTTGTATGCGGCTTCAAACTGCGCAGCTGAAGGATTATTATTAAACCCTCCTCTGGACCTTATTGAAGAGAATAATATTTCAATGTGATCTTGAGACAATTTGTAAGTTAAAATGAAATCTAACTGTCCAGACTTTACTACATCTAAAAATAATTGTTTTACACTAATTAAACATGTAATTAATCCAATAAAGCCGGTTTTTCTTTGAGATTCTAAAATTGTTATATTATTCTGCCCTTTTAAGCTTTCTAAATACAAAATAGAATTTTTAACAAATGTATTTATGTGTTCTTCAAGATTTGCATACAATGGTCGTTTATATTGTAACTGCCCCAAAAAATTACGTGTATTAAGAAAATCGAAAATGTCATTTATTTTCCTACAAAATTCTATTGTAGAATCACTATTTTGAAACCCATCAAAACATTCATTTTTACACAATGTTAAAGCATCTGCAACACTGGCACTGAATGTTTGTGCTGCTAAACTTACTTTCATTTTTTCTTTAAAGTACCAAATATGTCGTCGTCTAAGTTTAGTTGCTAAATGTAAGCCACCTTCTTCTTGCAAATCTACTAATTTTTTGAAATAATCCCATTCAATTGATTTCCCATTTTGGTCGTATAGTATTCGCCAATCACCAAGGGTGTTTCTAACCAATTTCAACATGTGAGCTGCATCTAAAAATATGTGTACGTCTTCCTGGGTATTTGGATGTTTAAATGATGTTTTGGTTGGTAAATTGGCACCTAATATTTTTACCATGGATATATTTGAAGCAGCCCCATCAAATGTTAATGATTTAATAATATCACCAGTATCGTTCAAATTTTGAAGACATGTGGTGACTAAATTTGATTTTTCTACTGCAGTTGTACCATTCATTAAGAAGTATCCTACTGGAATTTTCCAATTAGAATTCAAGGCCACTAATAAAAATACTAAAGCTTCTCTGGCCAATGGAAGGCTATCAGAATCTACTTTGTCTTGTCCAAAATTAATGTACCCTTGAAGGCGATGACCGTTAAAATGAATATCTTCTCTAATAGACATTTCATCCATGATCAAACCGCAAAAAAGTTTTTTATTTTTTTCTCCCATTTCTTCAACCTTAAGTTTTACAGCATTCAAACATTCAACACTAAACCCAGGAGACCCGTCAATAGTAGAATACCATTTTCTGATAGTACTTGGATGAGGTAAGGTTTTATTAAAAATCTCTCTAACATAGCTGTATGCAGCTGGAGTATAAAAATGTAAAGTTAGCCTAAATGTTCTTAATTCTGGTGATATACTATTTCCTGTTGACATATGTAAATGTTTCATAATGATTTCATTTTGAAGAGGTGGTATACTTTCCTATAAAAATGATCAACAACATAAATCATTGCTAACAAAAAATTGAAAATAATAGTATCTTTAACAAAATTTAAATACCACATTTTTATAATAGTATTTTAAAAGTATTATTACTATCATTGATGTATAATAATATAGTATTAATATAGTATATATATATTTAATACTAGTATTTATAATCAACCGTGGGGGCATTGACCTCACACCACCATATAATATGTACACTTAAATATGTAAAAACATCATACAAACAAAATCATTAATCAATTATTTATTAACTTAAGTATTTAATTATACATTATTTTTTAATATTAATATTATAATTTTCAAACATTATCAATACTATTTTTTGCTTAATACCTTTATATTATATATTATAATATATCCCCGAAAAAAATATACGTTTCCTAATAATATTTTACAATTCTTACTTAATATAAGTAGATACAATATTTAAAAGTTTATAAAATAAAAATATTTCCAATGATCGATACATCAAATAAAATAAATTATTATTAAGCAAATAGTAAAGTTAATAAATGTACCTAATCAGTAATCTTTTAAAAGAACTATTAACATAATATGTTGTTTCACATTGTAATATAAAACAAAACAATATTATTTTTAATTTTTGAATATTATTTATTATATATTACCTATATTATATAAGTTTAAGTATTGGAACGAATGCAGTTTAACTCCCAAGCTTTATTTTTTAATTTTTTTTCAAAATGTGTCTTTTCGAATGCCTAATTTGATGGTACTTTAAAAAAAAGCCGGTCAAACTTATTTTGGAAGTTATGGTCAAAAAACTTCAAAATGCTTAATTTTTTCAAAAATGATATAGAACATACAAATTAAGTACGGGAGGAAAATTCTGATACCACCAAATTGTTGAGCATATAAATACAAACATTTCTAAAAAAAAAATTCTAAAATCTTAAATTTTTTGTATTTTAAATTCAAAAACATGATTTTTGAAAAAATTGAGCATTTTGATCATAACTTTTTGATTACCTTTAAAACAGTGTAACAGTTTTCTGAAATAAGTTTTTTTTCTTCATTCAGGTGTTCAACAAGGCTTGATAAGTTTTTTATTTTGTTGCGCAGGTGTTCATTATCTTTTGTCAATTTTTTAAGCTTCTTTTTCTGTTCTAAGATGACAGACTGTGAAGCATGCCAATACTTCAAGCGGCTATTGGGAGTTTCTATGTCACTAGGGGATTCAAAGTCTCCAACATATACTTTCCGTTTCCTAAAATATATAAGATAAATAATTTTTTTTTTGATACCTATGAATAGTTTAAATATGGTAGATCTTAGTTTTTATATAACTGTACTGTGAAAATACCTTTGAGAAAAATGGGTAAATTGCGAAGGAGGCGTTGTCTATGGTTTAGAAACTACAATAGTTTCATCATCAAATTCATCATTAATCTTTGTGTCCACACTAATATCTTCAACTAACGGTAATGGCACCACTTTGTCTTCCAATTCATTATTACACACTGTGTTCAAACTAATTTCTGAAGATAATGGCTCAACTTCTACTTCCATTTCATCATTTATTGTATCCATATTTTCAAACATTAATGAGCGCCGAGAACCTATATAATGGCAAGTTGTACAGTTAAACTTTGATTACGCTTAATCAGCTGATAACATATATTTAACAGGGCAAATTCTAGCGATTAAATTCCACTTAACTTTAATCGAAGACTGTACAACTGGCCCTCAGTGTTGTGATTGTATTAGTTTATAATATTGAAAGTATACAATTAACATTGATAAATAATTATTATAATTCTATATTTGAACTTACTTATACACATTATACCGATAATATTAGGGACTGCATTCTTTTTTAGTTTTTTCTGATTATTCATACTGGTAATCGGTATTGTATAATCATTTTCACAAAAGTGACTTTCACAAACTAAATGTGAAGGCTTCAATTCAAAAAAATTGTCAATTGACTGAATAAACTCCAACCATTTTGATTGAATATCAAGATCTTTAGGAAACCTTTCCATCAATAAATAATAATATTAAAAGACATGGTAATTTAAAAAAATAACATAGTTGTTTTTACTTGTGTAGTTTTAACCCTTGACCAGCAATAGTTGGGCAGGTCTTAATACAACAACTGTTAACCATATTTGCAACAGTTTCGACTACAGACTACAGTATTTAGTATTTACTATTTCATCAGTGGTAACGTAATATGTCTATGACTTAAAATTAAATTTAACGACAAAATACACAATTCACAATAAAATATGAAAATCAAACATCAGTTAAATAAAATAATACCGTAATCATAGATTATAATATATTAAGATAACGATCATGGAATATAAATTTGTGTAATATATTATTCCATGATTTTTTCCAAGATGTATTGCTGTCTCTCTCATACTATGATGAGTGAAGAATCCATAGGCAGGGGGGGTGGAATGCGCGGTCCATTAGTTAATATGTCTATGATATCAATAAGACGTGATGACCGGTAAAAAAAGCGAGATAATTCGGCGACGGCTCGGCCGAAGTTACGCGATTGGTCGCGCTATGGAACCGGCGGCTCCGTGGAAGAAACGGAACGGCAACACTGACGTCCCCTAATAAACGGAGTGACAATAATTGTATAAAATGATCTGAGCGTTTTATCTTGATGTATGTAACGTATATTAAACCATGATAATTTAATTTATCATGCATTAAACTATCTTCTTGACCGTACTACGACTTAAGTTACTCTTGCTTGTATTGTTGATATCGTTTTTAGACTTTTTCCGAGTGACGAGGTAAAAATTAACTGTAATATTGTATGAAAATGTAATCGTAATGACATGATGATATTATATAAAATCTAGTATTACCGGTACGCAATCACTTGTACGCTTCTTCTTGCGATCTTGCCAGTTGTCACATGTCATTGTTCATCTTGATGTCCAACAAATTTTAACTTGAATGTCGACGTTACAATAAAGTGTAACATAGGTTAATACTTGTATAGTAAATACCTACTGGCGACTGGGTTGTAGTGAGAACTTTAAAACATAGATAATATTATACAACATTTTACATTTTATATTTTATAATATATCAATATTTATTTCAGGTTTTCAGAGTAAATACGTACAGACAAAATGGATTTCATGTCAACGGATTTTAATTTGGCAAAAAACACCTTTTGTTTCCATAATCCTAAAATTAAAAAAGTGGCGTTTGTGCTCAACTGGGATACAAGAGAAAAATTCTACTTCAACCTTTTAAGTGTACGTATTGTTTTTGTTGTACCCATGACTGAATAAATAGGTATGTTAACAAACTCGGTTATTTTTCCTATCACTGTGCATGTCTGACCCCACATTCAATTTTAAGCTTCTGTACTAAATATTTGTGCGAACCCTATACAACGTTTTCAGTAATAAAACTCAATCCAGAATAATGGATGCTGGTGTCTCATACACCTTTATAGGGAAACACTACTAATCAATCAATGGTTAACATATAGCATAAAATATTATATAATACAAAATAAGTATAAATAAAAAAATTATTAAAAAAATTATGAATTCATTTGAACAATAGAATAGCCAAGTACCAGTACTACAAATCCAACTACTCTCTCCCCCTTTTGTTGGTGCCCTATCTATACTGTATATTAAGTATGATAAATAATATTTATATATAAGCAGACATCACTGGCTGTTACAATTTTGTGAGGCAATGTGTAAAATGTATTGTTTTAAAACTGAAACATGTCATATTATGCTCGGCCGAAATACACTGCCTGAAATCTTGTGCGCTAAGTGTACATGCATAAAAGGTAAACTGTATAGTACAAATTGATTTAATTATATAAAGCGGTTTTAATAAATAATAACAAAATAATGGTCAACTATCAGTTTAGTTTTTACTTGTGTTTTATAATATAATATATTATATAGTCCATACGGAGGTAGGTTGAACCCAAAAATATGGTCTTCAACCATATTTTTTTAATCATATGTCAATCTAAACTTTTTAAGTGTATGTAGAACTGAATAATGCAATGTTGATGACAAACTCGAACAGAACATAATTATTATTCAATATAAGCTAACCGTATCAGGTATCTTTTTTTTTGGCTTTATAATTATAATTATATAATTCACTTGGTTATCATTTATTACAAAAATACTTTATTTTCAATTTTCATTTGTGGTTTTCAATGAAATGTTTCATTTTGATGGGCGTATTTTGTTTGGGTTTTCATCTGATTTAGTGAAACTATATGTTTTTTTTCCTACTAAACTGTTATTAGCAACGACAATCGAGATGGCACCAATATTATAGTTATAACCTTACCTTTTTGGCTTCTCAAATGTATTTTATTTTCATAATTTTAGTAAAAGATAAATAAATTAATACTATTTACTTGAAAATTTTTGAAGTTTGTAAATTTCTTTTTAATTTAAACTATAAGGATTAATTATAAAAAATATTCAATTTTGAATGAATTCCATTCAGTTTTGATTTTTTCAAACTAGGTTTCACATTTAAACTCAAACTAAACATCTAAAGTTTGGTTTAATTTTTAAACTTTAAACATTTGTTAACCCAGTTTTGTAATAGGTTAATATGCCTAGGTTTATTTGGTTCAATTCTACATACATGTTTAAGATCTTAAAATATTCAAGATAATGCCCAATATTGTTAATTTTGTTAAAAATAAGAATTATTTATAAATATCTATTAAGTATAAAAGTAATATTTAATTATTGATTTTTATATTTATTAAGTAGATATTAGGTACAGCCGTATTATCCTTACCAACCTGTTTGTGTATTCTATTTATTATAGTAAAAGTGATTTATATATAGATAAGAATAATAAATTCTATAATAACTTCAAACTTCTGTTAAATTTTATTTTTACAGAATTCCTTTGCAGATGTAATTGATGAACCAAATGATCATTCAATGGTACTCACAAGACCAGAAAAACCAAATTATTTTCATCCAAAGATTCCAGCATTTGATATAAGATACATTGAAGATTGTTTTAAAATCAAAGACTACCCTGATCCAACCCAATATTTGTGAGTATTGTCATCTTTGTTTTTTTTTTGTTTTTTTTTTTGTTTTGGAGTAATTGAAGGATAACATGTACAAAACATAATATTCCTATTAAATAATAACTAAAATATGCTCATTCCGCAAGCATGTCTAAATTTCTGAGCGGATTTAATTTTATGCAATCCTATTATGTTCATTACAAAGTTGCAATTTGTCTTACATACTAATATACTTTAACCCTTTGAGTAGTAATAACATATATTTACATAATTTGTGACGTATGTCCTGTAAAATAATGACATATACTTATATAACTGTGAATTGTCATGTTTTTCGAATTTTAATGATTGTGTCTATTAATTTATACAGAAATCAAACATATAATGAAGTATGTACTGCCACATGTCAACAATATTTTATAATTCTATAATAAATCACTCAGGGTGATGATTGTAAAAAGTGAATTCACTCTCCGAGGTTTGATAGCTATGATTAAATGTTTGAGTAGATCTACAACTGTACTAGTCACATCACTTCAACATGTGTTGAAATGTTGTGCTCCAGCTTAAGTTAATTACTGTGTTACTGTTATCATGAATATTAGAGAATTTTTCTCTTATGTTCATGACTGAGACCATGTACTTTACACATGCTTGAATGTTGATGAACATACTCTCATCAATTGAAACAATTTATTATCAGTCTCCGATTTTTTTTGTCATAGCTTTACTATACATTCTTTCTCATGTAGTAACTAGAATATACTACTATGTCACAATTCATACCCTAATGTTTTTCTTATAATTTTGTGGATGTCATTTCTGGTACAATAATACACAAAATGTAAATATACAAAGACAGTCCATTATTGGTATCAGGTGCTTAGTCGAGATAGTGGGAAAGTAGTGTTCTGTATCTTAGGTTAGACTTGATAACTGCAATTATAAATAATGAAATACTGATAATCATTAAATATCTTTTTTTATAGAATTAAAAACACAAGCCATTCAAACTATACAAAAGATGATATATTTGATTGTTGGCTCTATCAGAAAAAAAAGTGGTCTGATTTAGTCTCACTTCCAGAAAGCAAAAATAATATTTGTAAAATCACAATTGAACCGTCTTTTACTGATTCTATTTCTCAAGGCACAAGGTATGTATGATTGTTTTTGTATTGAAATACATTGATTATCATTTATCATCTTATCCTAATACACACACACACACACACACATGTACGGGCAATCCGGAATTTCGGGCTATGTGGTTCTGCCCAAGCAATGTAAACCACAAATTTTTTTTATTATCAATATTATAAATTATAATTATTACCTATTCATAACCTAATACCTATTATAACCTATTATTACCTTGATTTTTTTTTTTAAAACAATTATTATTAATTTCATTCATGTATCATAATACAATAAATTATGAATTTTTTTGAAACACTGTATACATTTATTTTTGTTACTTATTGTACTGCCTATTTAAGAATCAAGTGTAGAAAAGCAGACAGACTATGTAATTCCAAGTGCCATGCTTCTAAATCTTGTGCAAATAAAAAGATTATAATACAATTATTATGTGTTATAAAAATAAAATGATAGTACTTGTTGATATTTTTTGTTATTTCATCAAAATATTCGTAATATTATGATACATAAATAAAATTAAGAATAACTGTCTTTAAAAAAAATCAATATTATAAATAGGCAAAAGTTATAATTTATAACAATGATAAAAGATAAATTAGTTGGTTAAAAAAAAATGTGTGATTTATGTTGCCCGGGCAGGACCACATCGATGTATGTGGTATTCCACATTACCCGTAACATATATATAGTATATACTCACAATATAGATCATTTATAAAAAATACATTTTAATATTAGGCAAAGTATAAAACAAGTAGTGTCAAATTGGCTGTTATTAGTAGTAGTGGCGTATATAGGGGGGAGGCCCCCTAGGCCAGAGCCCATAGTGCAATTGCAGGTTCAATTAAAGCATTGCATGTATATTTATGATTTAATTATATAAAGCGGTTTTAATAAATAATAAGTAATGAAATTACACTTTAATAATACTCTATACATATTGAGACTAAATGAGCGTCTATTAAAAATTAAAAATGCTGTCATTAAAATTGTATATCATTCATACCATTTTGTAAAAACCTTTCTTTAAATGTTGGGTTTTATAATCTATTTTACCCATGAATTTAACCAAAAGCACATTCTTGTATGTGCTTTGTAATTATATTTTTCCAATGTCTGTGAGGTCTGCTCTATCCATCTGATTGATGTATAATTATGGCTATGCTGCTTGACTAGTGATAATTGATAAATCGGCCCATAGTGAAAATAATTTGTATATACGCCACTGATTAGTAGGTACTTCAATAAAAAACTGAAAACTTAGAAGTCAAAATACAACACAATTTCTACATAAAGGAAACCCTATTGTAAACAAAAAAAACAGATTTTTTATATTCAATTAAAATATGCAATTAAATTACCTTTAATTGTTAATTATATGCACAATTATAATCTATACATGTTGAGATTTAAATGAGCGTTTAGTGTGGAGCTAAACTGTTGTGATTAAAATATTATATTGCTTAAACTATTTTGTATTAACATTTTTTTTAAATGTTTGTTTTATGAACTAAATTTTCCAGCTCCTTGAATGTCTTTATAAATGTTTTCCACACATAAATTTATCCATAATGTTAAATTGGATTTGGATAGCTAATAGCACACTCTTATATGCGTTTTGTAATTCTATGTTTCCGATTTCTGTTGGCTCTGCTCTATCGATCTGATTGTCAAGATATATTTTTAATAAAATTCTCATACATTTCATGAATTTAAAAGACTTAACTTTTTTTCATGTTTGTTATTACCATTTGATACTTGAGTGAAAAATTGTTACAATTGTATGCTTATTGTTATTTGCATATTGTTAACTGAAAATTGTTTAATTTTAGCTTTAACGATGATGTTGATTATGTTGGGTATAGGTTGCCTGACCATTTATCTAAACGGTAAATATCATGCATTTATTTAATATTGTATATAATTTATGTTTTGTGTTTAAATCTTTTTTTATGAAGCACTAGGTTACCCTATACGCATGAAGAAGATACAAATATTATTCAGTATATCATTAAGAACAATTTTGGTCTAGGTATTAAAGGGAGATCACTGTGGCAAAGGATGGAACACGACAATGTAAAATGAAGAATTGTATTTAATGTTTGTTTTGAGTCATGTTTTTTTTTTAATCTTGTAGGTATGTATACGACGTACGTGGCAATCAATGAAAGAAAGATATTTAAAGTCCATTAAATTTGCTCTAAATTCAAAATATCATAGATTTTCATTTCTTACACCTGAAGAATTGAAAATATTGCAACAAGGGTATGTACCTACTTAGTTTTATTTTGTATATTTGAATGTATATTTAATAATATTATAATAAAAATTATTTTTATCATCATAAAATTTGATGGAGTTTTTAGAAGCAAATTTAATCTAATTATTGCTTTAAAAAAAAAAATATTGTTAAAATGAATTGGTAACCTTATCTGACTGTCTTTGCATAGATTGCAAAGATAGATGGATTTGCAAAGCTGTTTAAAAATATTAATGATTCAAAGGTACAATTATTTCTATAATCTTTTAAATATCAATTTTTGATAAAATCACAATAAAAATGTAGTACAAAATGTGTAATACATTAAATTTGTATAGCTGAAAATTTAAAATTAATTCAAGGTCTTTCATACAAATACAAACACTTTTACCATAAAACTACTCATCATTTAAGGAAAATTGGAAAATGTTTTTTCAGAAATGAATTCATTTTGGTAAGACGTTTTTGAATTCCACGCCAAGCTTACTAGTTGAGACATGATAAAAATACTTTTGTAATGTAATAATAATACAGCAATTTGGGTGGTGGAGGAAGGGTAGGAGTGGTCCCAGTCCGTCAACCCCTCCAGTGTATGCTACTGTTATGCATTCCTACATACATGATACATTGATACTTATATAATTTAATTATTATACAATTTAAAATGTTTATATTTAATAAATAATAAGTAATGAAATTACACTTTAATAATACTCTATACATATTGAGACTAAATGAGCGTCTATTAAAAATTAAAAATGCTGTCATTAAAATTGTATATCATTCATACCATTTTGTAAAAACCTTTCTTTAAATGTTGGGTTTTATAATCTATTTTACCCATGAATTTAACCAAAAGCACATTCTTGTATGTGCTTTGTAATTATATTTTTCCAATGTCTGTGAGGTCTGCTCTATCCATCTGATTGTAAAGATGTATTTATTATAAAATTGTCATATTTTTCATGAATTGAGAAGATTTAACTTTTATTATATTTATAATAATCATTCGATAATTGAATGAAAAATTGCCATATAGGTATTAATAATTTATTTATTTTTACTTGTATATTGTTAACTGAAAATTGTTTTAATTTTAGCTTTAACAATGATGCTGAATTTATTGTGTCGCCTGACCATTCAAATATGGCTTCTTCATCTAAAACGTAAATATTATTCATTTATTTAATATTGTATACAATTTATGTTAGTGTTTAAAACTTTTTTATGAAGCTCTAGATTGCCCTATACGCTTAAAGAAGATACAAATATTGTTCAGTATATCGTTAAGAACAATAATTTTTTATTTATTAAAGGGAGAGCAATGTGGCAACAGATGGAAAATGATAAAGTACGATGATAAATTATATTTAATGTTTGTTTTGAAACGTTTAATAAGAGTTATGTTTTTTTTTTTAATCTTATAGGTTTGTAAACGACGTTCGTGGCAATCTATGAAAGAAAGATATTTAAAGACTATTAAAGTTGCTTTAATGTCAGGAAATCATAGATTCCCATTTCTTACACCTGAAGATTTGAAAATATTGCAACAAGGGTATGTACCTACTTAGTTTTATTTTTTGTATTTGTATATATATTTAATAATATTATAATAAAAATTATTTTTATCAATCTTTATTTTGGTTTGAATAGTGAACAAATGAATGAGAAAGATGAAGAAGCAACTAAATCTGGATTTAAAAAAGAACGATTAAATTATTGGTCATCAGACAGTTCCTAAATTGTATTGTTGTTTAAATGTATGCGTAACATATACTATTATGTGAAAAATGTTTAACATCCCTTGAAAGTTGTTGAACAATTTCTACCAACAAATATTTTATAATATAAAACAACAATAGCTTAAAAAAATTAATTGTGTTAAATTAGTAATATACTTAATTATTTAAATAAGTACTTAGTTTCTTTAAAAATTCCTTAAATATTCGTCGATCAAGAACACAAATTTTTTCATAACTTAAACTTTTTGATGGGCAACGAGGATGATAATCATTATACAATATTTCAATCTATTATAATAGTAATAAACATATGAACAATGATTTTTGTATCAGCTATTAAGAGTTAATTGATATAAATCTTTAAAATTACTGTACACATTTATTTAGAATAATTTGCAAAAATCACACCATTGTTACCAAGTTATCAAATATTACATTTATGCTCAGAAGTCAGAATGCCAAACATTTCATTTTTATCCCACGTAGCCTACTAACTTTAAATAAATGTTTATTTAATATTGTAATCATAATTTTTAATCATTAAATAAACTTTGAGTTTTGATTGAGACATGTTCATTTTAGTATTGAAACAAACTTATATTAACATTGATTGGATCATAACTCTAGATTGAATTAACACTTTGTTCTAAACATTCAATCAATGTTATTAAACTCCATCAATTACATGGGCGCCGAGTGTAGGGGGGCTTGGGGGCTACAGCCTCCCATGAGCTTGGTATAGCGGAGCTCAGCCACCCACGACTTCACGGTTCTTATATTATAAAATAAGTCAAAAGTCATAACAAATCATTTTCTGCCCTTCGCAGACTTAAGACATACATCAGGAGTACAATGAGTCAAACACGGTTGAATGATATTGCCATTCTTCATTTGCACCGTGATGAAGAAATAAATGTAGAAACTGTCGCAAACCAATTCATCAACATTTCCAAAGTGCGGAAAAATACATTTTCTTTATAAAATAGGTAACTTTCAAAATAAATTGGCATTTTTTAATTTTTGTCTAATGATTTTTTATGATAATACTATTATAATTTTATAACATACAAAACAATAAATAACTAAATTTTAATAGTTAATTGTTTAACGAAAAATTTATATAAAACGAAAATATTTATGTAAAACTTCAGTAAAAGTGTTCATAAAATAGTGAGCCCCCCATGATATTTTTAAAACCTGGCGCCTATGCCATCAAACACAATGGGTAGTTATGCAACAGCCATTTTTAGCTGTAATTGAATTTTCATTTACTATTTGGTTACTAGTTAAAATATTTTTTCCTACTAACAAATACTTATTATAGAATTATAAATTTAAAAAAAAAATTGATTATTGATTACTAACCAAATGATTTGCATATTGAAGAATTATTAGAATTTGTCTTAGATGCAGACATTTCAGAACATTGACAATGTTCAGTTTAGTTAAAAATAAACTTCTTTTTGCACCAAGAATTTGTAAGGAAAAGTCATCGACCTTTATAACAAGCCGTAAAACGGTATTCAGAACTTAACATTTAAACCTCAAACTGTCATTGATAATTTATCAACTACAAAAAAATATTGCATTTGAAATATTTAATGAAGATGAAGAATCCGTCAAACATTTTTTGATAGAACCAGACGGTTTTTTAATCTTAGCTTCTTTTTCACGTTTTATTTTCCTATATTCTGCCTCCGAAAGTCGCTGCCTAACGCCCGACATAGTGCAGCTTTCTTTCTTTTTACTATATAAATAAAAAATATGATTTGTAAAATAAGATTTCACAAAAACATGGGCAAATGGTCTATTAGTCTGTATTTAATATTTGGTGCCGAGAAACTTGAAAATTGACACTTGTCATTTTATAATAAAAATCATTTTACATTTCTTATCAAAACAAATTTGATAGTTTTAAAAAAAGCATAACTAACTTAATTTTTTTTAAATATATGTTGAATTACACAAAATATTAACACAACGTATGAAAATAATACAGTTTTTCAAAACTCCAAACAATGCAATTATTGTTATTGTTTATACTTTATATCTGGGGGCGCCAAACTTTTTTTGGTCACAATCTACTAAAAATATACTTCACCTTTGAGGATCGACTTTCATAGAGAAATTGTTTAATTATACAGATAAAACTTATCGACAATTTGTTCGCTACAACCTCGATTAATTTTCGTAAGCGTGTTCCTAAAAATAAATTCTAACATGATCGACTTTGCAATTGTCCGCGATCGACCGTTTGGCCGTCCCGGGTTTATATTATAAAGTTAACCCAAATGATAAAATAATACTGAGTTATTGGGTTTTTTTTTATTGAAAATTCAGTTTCTAAATATCCCACATAAAATATCATTTAATTCATGCGTGGATTACGTACATTCAAAATTTAAAATCAGTAATCGGGATGTATTCTTATTTTTTAATTGTCCATTGTATTCAAATAAATTATATACTTAACATTAATAATTATAAAACTATTTAAAATAGAAAAATTCACCAAATTATGAATATGACGACCGATGGAGAATGTTGATCGGCTAAACAATAGTAGGTATGCATGATGCACAGCACGTTACGATCGTTGACGGTACGACTCGCTGACACAATAGACTACGTATAATCCGATGGTCATCACTCGTCACAAGTAACCTAGTTTTAGTTGGTGCATTCGGGAGATTGAAATGTAAAATTCCTAGTAGTTTACAAAAGCTGGTAAAACAAAAAAAAAAATAATGAAAAACCGGAATTTTTAAGCCAAATCGGTTTTTGACAAAATCGATTTTGGTTTTTAGTATAACTCTAAAAAAAATTACCGTAGATACATGATATTCCCACTGAATATTTACATTAGAATTTTCTATACAGCGTAAAACAAAAATAAAAATATTTTGACTATTATTAAATAATATAATATACCTAATGAAGTTTTCGATTATTATTAATTTTTGTCAATGTCGATAAAAAAATGTTCGCACTGTAAAGAAACTTGAGAATGTTACAATAATAATAATAACGATACAAGGTTCCTCGTAAGTTGTTGTCAGTGTAAATAAAAAAAAATTGAGCTTAAATCCACAGTAATTTTTTACGAGTATCTACAAATAGGATTTTGACAAAGTTCGTAAAAGTCACGAAAGTTTGCAAATTATTTCGAGTTAGAAATTCATAACATTTTTTCTGTTTATTTCTAAGCTTTTAAAATGTTATACATTTCCCCTTGAGTTTTCCTACATTAAATGTATAGTTATATAAAAACTAACAATACTAAATACTTGAAATTTTCACTGAATATTTTTATAAGCATTCTCTATACACCATACAATTTTCAAAATATTTTGATTTGTGTTGAACTATTTATATGCAAATGAAATTTTCGATTATTATTTGTTTTTTTTAAAAGGTTCCGCTTAAGCAGTTTTTCCGTAACTAAGAAATCGAAAAAATGTATGAATAGAATTATTTTGACAGACATTTTAAGTTCAAATTTGGACAAAATTGCATATTAATACAAACAATTACGTTTATCATTTTGTTATAATTCGGTTCCTAAACAGCCCAATTTTAAGTAGGTATATTTAATATTTTTCCAGCATCACTGTCATTCACTGATAATTTGAGAATAATATTAATTCAACTTACCGGATACCTTATTCATAATAAATAATAAAAATTTAAAATATCTTAAAGTGACATATCGTCTCCGCTTAGTCGCTTAGAATCGTTTTTCGTATACAATGATTTGATATAATTAAATTCAAATTTAATAACATCCATTACAACGACCTCTTAGACACCTAATGTACAGCAGAGCGACATCCATTTACATAATTTTTACTAATATTATTATTATATTATTTATTCACTTTCAAAAATGACTATAACTCTTTAAGAAACAATTATTTATCATATTATTAGTTTAGTAGGTACCTACTATTTATATCTATGTTATACCTGCTTATAACAATTATTTGAGTATTACCATTGAGTAGGTATAGATAGTATAGCTAGGTAACAAAATGAAATTACTTAAATCAGATGCTTTATTAGCATTCGAAAAGTATTTTAGTATAGTTTTGTAAGTAACTACCTAACGTCTATTCTGTACTTCTTACGCTGCTTGTTACATTTTGGTTGTATATTGTATAAACAAAGTTAAGTTATAATTTATAATAATTCTAATAAACACCAAATGAAAAATTGTAATATAATATTTTCATGTTTCAGCTATAATAATTAATAATATAAATTATAATACTCATTATAAAATTAAAGTTGAACAATCAAAATATCAAATATTATCTCTCACTAGCTCTCGGCGCTCTCGCATTATAAGACAAGAGTTTTGTAGACAGACAATGACAATAATCGACAGAATAACACTATTGTAGTATTGTAGTGCCTATAGTATTGTCCTATTGTATCTAAACAATTCGACAATTCAAGAATCATAATATATCAATATTCAATATTGGCGCCAATTGTGCGTTCACCTACTATATTACATAAAGGTATTTACATCATCACTTTGTTTGTGAAGGAATAAAAACAACTTTTTTAATTCTCAACTGGGAAAGCAGATCTCAAGTAGTCATGACGATAAATTCAAATCTGTTTTTAGAATTGTTATCGCTTCATTAGATAAATTGGTACATTTTGCAAAGGACACGTCTAAAATCTTATGTCCCGGTGTGTTAGACAAAAACAGAAAATCACGGTATCGAATCCCCGTGAAACTGTGTATAACTCGCTGATAGTTGATAAAAAAACACCTCGTCGATGATAACAGGACGTCGGAATATCTGCGCGTCATGGAGTAATCAGAATAGTACATGATAACACTATTTAGTATTTTTTACTTCATAATAATATTGTGGCGAGTCGCCGCCATATAATTTCCCACCGGCGTCGGTGGCATAGTAAGACGGTTGGTCACAGTGATCCCCGGCGGGCGACGGCTGCCACGCTCGGCGGCCGCCGGTCTCGAATTATCCTTTCCGATCGCGCCTGCGCAACGCACGCTCTCTTCCGTCGTTTAACGCATCGTTCTGTCGCCGGCAAATAAAAGTCCTTGTGAGTAATGTGAGTTGTGACCAACCGTCCATTTTCGACCGTACGTATCCGACACAACGTCACGTCTGTTGTAAGCTATTCTTTCTTGCAAATAAATTAGCATTGTATTCTAACCTAGTCTAGTTCCTTTCTTTCTCTAGGGTCTACACTCAGGTACTTCGTGGTTACGATCGTAACGACGACGTTGGAGGTCTCAAGTGATAGTCTGAGTACCTCCACAATATCATATTATAATTTATCAGTACTCACTGCTTTGTACTTCACTTGTGCAGAATGTTATGTTATGATTGCTAGGTTAGCCGTACCTCACGACTGCAGTCTGGAATTCTGCTAGTTGTTTGTTCATTATTGCAACAGTCCGCACTTGGCGTTTACTGTCTACGATTCGACT